TAAATTTTTCCCATTCTATCTCAACAACAATAATAAGCAAATCCTATTATAATTTTTCAACATTTCACAAAAAAAAAAAAAAAAAAAAAAACTCGATTTGTTTGCCCAAGAATCCAGTTTTCTGTTAACCATCGAAAACATTGTCCAAAGCCAAAGAAATTCCCTTCGCCGTGACAAACAAGATGAAGACATAGTATGTAAAGTGAAAATAATTTGTTGGAGAAAAAAAAAAAAAAACGAACGAACGAACTGCGAAAACATTCTTTTAAACTTTTCGGCAAGGTAAGGTAAAAATAGTTTGTCTGTACGGAAAAATATTTTTGAGCAAAAATGAAAAACTTTTTTCGAATTACTATTTTTTTAAATTTTGCAAAAGTTAACTTGGTCGTGAGGAAAACACAAGAAAGACAGTGGTTAAAAGTATGTTATGTGACGATACAATGCCCTGACGAGGCAGGGCATGCAGAAGTTGGGGAACCAGGGCAAGCAGGGGGTTAACAAGACTTCAATGATAACCTGTAGGGCCAGGGAGTCATTGAAGCGGAACTGTGCCGAGAAGGCTACGTAGTCTTCATAGAAATGATGAAAGCCACAGGATCTTAATATGCGACCTGAAACCTTGGCCTTGAAAATGAATCTAAGGACCTGGGAGACTTTATGGGAGAGCAGAAGGTGATGTGCTTGGAAGTCCGTATAACCAGCTGAACGGTATTGAGCCTTTGTGAACAATATGAAAAACAATTGTGTTTCTATGGAAGAGCTGAATGGCCAGGGAATTTTTGCAGATAATGTTAATGACCAGGAGGATTTGTGGATAAGCTAAAGAGGCAGGAGTTCTAAGTATAGACAAGATGAGAGTTCATCATGTTAAAACACAGAGTTAAGGTAGTCATCTATAGACATACTGAATGGAGTTCTCTATAGATAAACTGAAAGAACTCTACTCTGTAGAAGCTGAGGTGAGTCTCTCTTTAGACAAGCTGAATTGAGTCTCTCTCTCTCTAGACGAACTAAAGGAAGTCTCTCGAACTCTAGACGAGCTGAAGTGAGTATCTTTCTCTCTGTCTAGACAAACTGAAGTCTCTCTGTCTCTAGACGATCAGAAGTGGGTCTCTCTCTCTTTCTCTAGGAAAGCTGAATTGAGTCTATTTTTCTAGACGAACTAAAGAAAGCCCTCAAACTCTAGACAAGCTGAAGAGAGTCTCTCTCTCTTTCTCTAGACGAGCTGAAGGGATTATCTCTCTCTAGACTAAGCTAAAGGAAGTCTCTCTCTCTCTAGACGGCCTCCTTCATTCTCTGTCTCTAGACAGGTTGAATGGAGTCTCTCTCTAGACGAGTTTAATGGAGTCTCTCTCTCTATCTAGACGAACGTAAGGTCTATTTCAACGTCTCCATATGAAAACCCTAGGAACCAACAGTGCCCCCAATACCGAATTTCGGTATTCCAGCTCTATTTCTTTACCCAATACCAAATGTAGTACCATTTAGTACTTTCCGAACAATTATAGTATACATTTCGAAAACTACCTCCATATCTCATTTCCAATTACCAACAGAAACCTCAATATCAAATTTTAGAATTCCAGTACTATTCCTTCACCCAATACCAAATTTAGTTATATTTAGTACTTTTCGTACAAATATAAAAATTTCCGAACCATTGACAAATCTCAAACACAAATACCAACAGTGACATCTATATCAAATTTTAGGATTGCTGCTCTATTCCGTACTACCTCTATATCTCATTTCGCGATATCAACGGAGAGCTCAGTATCAAATTTGAGTATTGCTGTGCTATTCCTTTACCCAATACCAAATTTAATACTATTTAGTACTTTTCGTACATATATAAGACGAATTTTCGAACCACAGGGAAATCTCAAACATACAGGGTGAGATAAAAAAACGGCAACCTAACTGCAAAATAGCATCAAATTTTAGAATAAGTTTAGATTTGTTCGAATTGGTCACCTTTTGCACGAACTATGGCCTTCAAACGGCCAATGAAACCGGCCCACGCTGCCCAAATGTTGCTCTGCGGTATTTTTGCCCATTCCCGGCGAAGCGTTTGCTTGAGGTGATCGGTTCTTTGGTATTTTTAGTGCCAACCTTGCTTTCAAAAATACTCCAGACACAATAGTCTAACGGATTGGTATTCGGAGATTTTGGTGGCCATTGTGCGCTGGAAATGAAGCGAGGAACCTCATTTTGTAACCAATCTTGGGTGGCGCGTGCTGAGTGCGATGGTGCTGAGTCCTGTTGGAATGTCCATGGTCTGCGGCCAAAATATTTGCGTGCCCAAGGCTTTAATACACGCTCCAGAATATTTTCGCGATAATATTCGCCATTTATTCTGATGCCGCGGTCGATTAATACGAGCGTAGAGCGACCATCGGTTGTTATGACGGCCCACACCATCACCATGGCTGGCGCTTGAGTTCTGGTGGCCTGGTGACCGAAGGTGCACATTTTCAGCTGATCTCTTTGCAAGTATACGCGATCATTTTGTTTGTTTACAAACTGTTAGACAACGAATGTTTTCTCATCGGAGAAAACCAAATTCGGCAGTTCACCACTTTCGGCCAAGCGAAACAACCCTTTTGCTCTTTTGAGTCTATTTTCTTTCTGTTGCGGTGTAAGTTCTTGCACTTTTTGGAATTTCAATGGCTTTACACCGAGCTCATTTTTTAATATTTGTCGAATGGAATATTGCGATATGTTCAGCTCACGAGCCATTTTTCGGCCATTGCGACGTGGGTTTCGATCAAGTCGCTTCTTTACTTTTCGAACCATTTACTTTACTACTCGAACCATTTCTGCTGATGTTGCTGTTTTCTTCCCTTCCGTCCACTTCCTTGACGTTGAATATAATGAGCTATCACTGGAATTATTTTAACAACTGTCGAACGAGTGGCTTAGAAATGACAGCAGTCTGAAGTTGGTTGCAGTTTTTTCATCTCATCCTCTTATTGTGTCCAGGATGATTGGTATTTAAAATGAGATATATCGGTCCACGTTTTGAGATAGCCATCATATAACGGTACCCCCCGGAATTTGGTATTTTGATAATTTTTGCCACATTTTCCAATCGGTTTGTCCAAATATTGGCATTTGTAGTCCGTAATTGGTTCTAGCTGTGGTGGTGGAACATTGTACATATAGGCCTTCATTTTTGCCCCATATAAAGGTTCCTCCCGATATTCGATATGGTGGAGGACCCGGCTGAACTTAATGTCTTTTTACTTGTTTAATCTAATCCTCCTCGAAGTCATACCATGCACCCTATAGCAATGCCAATTGATTCAGAATTGGATATATCTCCCATATAAAAGTAACCTCTTTTACCGAATTATAACTGCTCGAAAGCCATGACATGAGTTCAAACGAGGTTCATAGAAGGTATGATATACTTCACATCAATTCCCAATATAAACTTCTTTTGTTACGGGAGCTCTACTAAATATGCATAGTGGTGTAGTGTATGTTGTAGTTGGCTCCGCCCGCCTTTTGACTTTTCGTCACTGGTTTGTATATACTGTCTGGCTTACCAGGGCTTTGTTGTATAAACGCTGTCTTCTGTCTGATTTAGTATGACTGCATATACTCCCTAGTCTATAAAGCTCGTTTATATACCCTCTCTGTGGCCTATTCATCCGGTCTTCAGTTTGTCCATAAAAACCCCCTTATCAATTCCACTCCTCTGTGCACTTTAATGCAGACTTCCTAGCCCATTCAGCTGTTCTATTTAAATTTCTTAGCATATGACGTTCGCCAAAAATTGGCTCGCAGGTTTATTCTATTCAGCACGTTTACTCAGGCTCCGTACCCATTCAGCCCTCCTATTTAAAATCAATGGAATGTAAAATTATAGACTATATAGGCTCCCGAGCTTGTTCAGCTCACCCATATGTATCGATACCCTGACCCAGTCAACTCGTCATCAGAGACTCCTGACCAGTTTATTTATGGATTTGCTGTCCTTTTCTTCAATTTTATATATCTAGACGTGTCAGATCGTCTATGTGGACAGTTCGTTGGTGGTCAGCTCGTATTCGGAAACTTGGAGGATATATCAAATCTTCTACTTCGACTCCCAACCCTATATAGAATATCGGACATATTCATCTTGTCCACATAGATTCCCTTGATGAATAAACACGAAGTCTATATGGGCTAGGTGAAGTTCACTTTCAAAATTCGACCATAACACCACTTCTTATTCGAATGGTAAACAAATATCCGAACCACAGTACCATGATCTGAAAACAGCAACAGACATTTACCAAACTAGTGGCGCCAAAGAAAAAGTTCTCCCACACATATATACTCACACACACCATCATGCAAGACCGGTGTACATAGTTAGCATCCTTTGCAGACAGCATCATACAAGAGTCCTGGCAACACACACATACACGCATAACATCATCGCTTACCAATCGACATAATCAAGCAAACAGAAGAAGAACTAAGACAAAGTAACGCAGCCAAAGAAAACAAAAAAACAAAAACCGAGGAATGGTGGGTTGGTTAGATGGTCGGATTGTTGGTTGGTCCTTCTTCAGTTGTTTGTTCGGTCAAATGAAAGAAGAAATAATGTTTTTCTGATTTTCTTCTTTTTTTGTTATTTCATTGAAAACAATGTTGTGGCGGTTATGGTTGAATGTCGTCGACTGTCCCAGTGGCCCCCACTACCCCTGCCCCCCTCTCCACGACAATAATAATTTTCATTATTTTTTTCTTGAGTATGGCCACTCTATCCTAGAAACGATTACGAAATGTACATTTGAAACGAACGAACGAATTGCCGAAGTGGAATACAACAACAACACTTACATGTTATTGGGGTGTTTTGTACGAGTAGAACTGTTTTAAAGGAGCTATGTTGTGTCCTACTGTTATTACAACAAAATAGCTTTTGTTGTCCCAACTGCTGAAGACAACAACAAAGCAGTCATCCATCCTGTCCTGTTGGCTGAGTGTTGGTGCTGTCATAGATTCCAGTTCAGTTTTCTGTCGACTCTTAGATGTTACGGTTCGTCGAGGCGGTTAAATGAATACTCGCAAAAAATTGAAACCATACCGAACACACTGTTAAAAGTTTGTAATAATCTGAAGCCTTATTTTAAAAGCTAAAAAAAAAATAATAATTAAAGTGGAAAGGCAAAGAAACCTATAGCGAAAAAAAAAATAAAAATTAAAAAATTGTGATTTTTTTGTAATTATTAAAAAATAAATTAAATTAAAAAATATATTGAAAATGGCCTTAAATATTTTTAATAAAATAAATCTAGTGAAATGTTCATTGTTAATCATGATTGTGCAGCAGTTCATTTTAAATGGTTAGTTTCACAAAAAGGGATAAAGGATGTAGCATTTCAAAAAAAAAATAAATAAAATAAAATAAAAAAAAAAATAAAAAAAAAAAAATAAATAAATAAATAAAAAAAAATAAAAAATACTGTAGTCTATGTATAAATAACCTTATATGTTAGCCATATTCAATACATAATTTTAAAAGTTCATAAACTTGTGTGATTGTAAATTTAGACGATATATGTTTCAATATATTATTTCAATATTTGAGCTCGAATTATTGATGGACAAATATTGAAATAAATATTACAAACGGAAAATCTGATTTGAATAAAAACTCAAAAAAACAAGTAAAAAAGCTTTAAGTTCGGCCGGGCCGAACTTTGTATACCCTCCATCATTTGGAATAAATTTGCCAATTTTCAAAAAAAAAAAAAAAATAAATAAATAAAATTTGTTAAAAATTTTGTTAAAATCTTAAAAATACCATACGTGGAGCTGCATAGGCAACTTTTGTCATAAGCCAATACAAAATTCAAATGCAAAACTTGAAAAAAAAATCGGTGAATAATGTAGCTAAAATCATCAATGTAGAGAGATACTATTATATGGGGGAGATACCAAAATGTGGACCTGCACAGACAATTTTCTGTCATAGGCTGTAGTATTCATTACGAACTTCAAATACTAAACTTGAAATAGTTCCGGTAAATAATGTAGATAAAATCATCTAAATACCGAAAATAGGGAGGTACCGTTATATGGTGGCTATACGAAAGTGTGGACCTGCACGGACAATTTTCTGTCTTAGACTGCAGTATCCATTACGAACTTTAAATACCAAATTTGAAACAATTCCAGTGAATAATCTCGCTATAATCATCAAAATACCGAATATCGGGGGGTACGGTATATGGGGGCTATACGAAGACGTGGACCTACATGACCCATTTTCTGTTTTATGCTGCAGTATCCATTGCGAACATCAAATACCAAATTTGAAACATTTCCGGTGAATAATATCGCTAATATCATTAAAATACCGAATATCGGGAGGTACCGTTAGATGGGGGCTCTAAGAAGACGTGAACCTGCACAGACAATTTTTTGTGTTAGGCTGTAGTATCCATTACGAACTTCAAATACCAAATTTGAAAAAATTCTGGTGAATAATATAGCTAATATCATCAAAAAACCAAATATCGGGAGGTACCGTTATATGGGGGCTATACGAAGACGTAGACCTTCACAGGCAATTTTCTGTCATAGGCTGCAGTATCTGTTACGAACTTCAAATACCAAATTTGTAACAATTAGGGTGCATAATGTCGCTAAAATCATCAAAATACCGAATATCGGGAGGTACCGTTATATGGGGGTTATACCAAAACGTGGACCTACATGACCCATTTTCAAAACCAAAAGTCCTGCGAACATGATACACATTTGAATAAAATATTATCAACCTACTTCATTTCGTTCGGAAGCTAGAGTGATTTTAACTTCATAAATCGTTTGGAAAATGTAGTTAAAATCAAAAAAAAAAAAAAAAAAAAATTAAAAGAGCGCAGTACAATTATATGGAGCTATATCAAAATGTAAACCAAAAATCAAATTCGAAGCATTTACCATAGGCTGTAGTATCGATTCCGAACGTCAAATACGAAATTTGAAATAATTCCGTTCAATAATGCCGCTAATATCAGCAAATTTGAAACAGTTTCGGTGAATAATATTGCGAATATCATCAAAATACCGGATAAAGTAAGGTACCGTTTTGTGTGGGCTCTACGAAGACGTGGTCCTGCATGAACAATTTTCTGGCATAGGTTGTAGTACTCATTAGGAACTTCAAACTTTAAATACGAAATTTGAAACAATTCCGGTCAGAAATGTCACTAAAATCATCAAAATACTGAATATCGGGGGTGCCGTTATATGGTCGCCATACGATATCATGGACTCATCAAAATACCATATATCGGGGAGTACCGTTGTACGATACGTGGACCGATATAACTCATCTTCGAACTAGACCTGCCTGCACACAAAAGACTGATCTGTGCAAAATTGTAGGTTTCTATCTTAATTCGTTTGGACTCTGGTGGAGGAACTTTGGTGAAAACTCGTTGGAAAATGTAGATATAATCTTCAAAATACCCAATATATGGTGGTGTTGTAGGAAAGTATGACCCATTTACGATCTTAACCTGTCCACTGACAAAATATACATATAATTAAGTTAGCGAGTGTCCGATACTCCCTCAGCGAAATGTTCATCTTTAAATTTTAGATTCGTTCCAACAGTTCTGTTAGGCCTTTTAAAGCCTAAATATCAAATTCGACAATTCCAGCCATATCCCTTCACTCAATGTCAAATTCTGCACCACTTAGTACTTTTCGCACAATTATAGTACACATTTTCAAACCACCGCCAAATCTTGAACACAGATACCACCAGTAACATCTATATCAAATTTTTGGATTTCAGCTCTATTCCATCACCAAATACGAAATTATGGTACCATTCAGTACTTTTTGTACAATTATAGTACACATTTCAAAAAACCACCCTCATATCTCAATTCCAGAGACCTTAATATCAAATAAATAATATATGTTCACCCAACACCAAATTGTACCAAATGTAGTACTATTTAGTATTTTTTTCGTATTTCCAAAACCACGGTTTTATCACAAACCTACCACCAACAGGAACCTTAGTAAAAAATTCCGTCTTCTCCGGTTCACCCTAAATCAAACTGACAAGGTACACATTTCCAAAACCATATTTAAACTTAAACTTTGATTCTCTTACCAAATTTCACATTTTCAGCTGTATCTCACAATAACAAATGGTACCATTTTAGTTGTTAAGTACCATTTTAGAACTTTTCATAACCTTGAAGTTCGAATTTTCCAAAACCACTTAGTCATCTATCCTGCACTCCACAGTAACTCTAAATCCAAATATTAGAATTCTAGCTTTTTGTAAATTTTAGTACTTTTTGTAGGGTCTAATGTGTTCATTTTGAAGAGTTGCAATTGGAGTGACAAGGTTTATATAACCCTTAAATTATGGATTGGTTCAAACTCTAAAATATTACTCTAAGTTAAAAGTCCCGGGTCATTTTTATACTCTCGACTTAATTGCAGAATCGAAATATAAGTTTCAGATGCCTTTTATCACATTTTGAAACGATCTAGCGATGCCTTCTTCGAATGTGTGGTTATCTGGCAAATGTGCATGTTGACTCTTAATGACAGTATCCAATGTGGTTCACACTTGACATATTGTAATATTTATATCAAACACTTATACAAAAGCTCACAATTTCAGGTCTGTTCCGCACTGAATATAGTACTTTTTGTACACTATATAGCACACACTTACAAAAACTAACCATTGCCTAAACAACACTTATAGATAAAATCCTTACGTTCAAAACTATTCTTGGTTCTAGGTTCAGGTTTTGCAAGAGCTCCTCAAGTTTCGGTACTTCCCGATATTTGATGACTTTAGCCATATATTTTAGGGGAATTGCTTAAAATTCGACGTGTAGAGTTTGTAATGGGCTCTGTCTTCTGTAGCAAAAGACTGGTGAAATCGAATTTTTATTTCTCACCCATAAGGCAGTAACTCCGAATATTTGGTATTTTAGTAATTTTTACCCACATTTTTATAAGTTTTGCTTTTCCAACATCACAATGTATAGAGGGTATATTTAGTTTATCATTCCGTTTGTAGCCCATCGAAATAAAGTAAATATATTCTTGATCAGCGTTAAATTCTACGACGATTTAACCATGCTAGAGTTAAGAAGAAGTAAGATAGGAAGCTAAAATTTTGCATAGATCAGTCTTTTATCTGCAGGTAGGTCAAGTTCGAAAAAAAATATTGGTCAACGACATCGTATATCCTCCACACAACGGTACTGCCCGATATTCGGTATTTTTATGATTTGTGCCACGTTCTTCAATGGAATTGTCACAGATCAAATCTAAAATCGAAGTCGATAATCGACTTTCGTTTGAAAATTCAAAATCGAAAGTCTCATTTTTTGTTAAAGGCAAAAATAGTAAAGTTAGTTCTTTGACCGATTGGCAAGAAATTCAGCTTAGTCTAGGTATAACAAGTATGGACAATATACCTTTATTTGATACCTTTTTTTGATCGAAAATCTTGAAAATCTGATTTTTACATCAATTTCGATTCTATTGATGTATTCAGTCAGTAACGGATAATTATGTGAATATATATGAACGTCAATTTTTATACCCTACACCACATAGTGGTAAGGGTATAATGTGCATTTGTTTGTAACATGGAAAAGGAAACGAGATTACTTTTGAATCACTTTCTGAGTCCATTTATGCAAGTCAGTCCGTCTGTCCATGTATTCTTGTGAACAAAATGCAGGTCACATTTATTATCCGATTGAGCTAACATTTTCCAAACCATATTTATATGGCCCAATGACGAACCCTATTGAGATTGGTGATATAGCTTCCGTATATCTTCAACCGATTTCGTATTAATTGTGCACCAAATGGCCAATATCAGTCCAAAAGTCCTGAATTTTTGTACATCCGAACGAATGCAGTATAGAAGCAAGTACATCAAATCGGTTTAGATGTAGCTGTAGCTCCCATATATATATATATATATATATTTCGTCCCATTTGGGGTTTTAAGTTTCTCACAATCGTAATATGCTTTCCACAACAATGATCTTTGGAACCAGATATCATATACCGCTCTGAAGTAAGTTTGTCAAATTTTGTCATAATCGGTTCTGATTTGGATATAGCTCCCATATATATCTTCAACAGTTTTCGGTATAATTGCGCACAAATGGCCAATATCAGTCCAAATGACATGAATTTTCGCATATCCGACCGAATTCAGTCTAGAAGCAAGTACATTGAATTTGGTGGAAATAGGTTCAGATATAGCTTTAGCTCTCCTATATATGTTTCATCCGAGTTGGTCTTCAAGTTCCTCACATTCGTAATATGCATTCGACAACAATGTAATCTTATAGAGCTCGGTAATACCTTTACCAAATTTTAACGAGATCGGCTAAGATTTGGATATAGCTCCCTAAGATTTGGATATAGCTCCCGATTTCAGGTTTTTTGTGCGAATAATGGACGTACGTTTCCATTTTGTCGAACTCGGCTCTGATATGTATTTTTCTCGAAGTGATGTCATATTAAAATGTCTCCGTCAAATTTAGTGAAAGTCGATTCAGAATTGGATATGCCTCCCATAGATTAGTTCCTTCTGAAACCAAGTTATAAATGCGCTGAAGCCAAATGTTGATAGGTGTTATGATCTACTTCAAACAAATTCTTTTGTTACGGGAACTCTACTAAATATGCATAGTGGTGTAAGGTATCTGGCTCTGCCCGACTTTTCAGCTTACAAATTATACCCTAAATCACAAGGTGGTCAGGGTATTATGTCTTTGTGCATTTGTTTGTAACAGGCAAAAGGAAACGAGATAGACCCATAGTTCATTTTGATGATCTGCATAGAATCACATTCTGAGTGGATTTATGCATGTCCGTCCGTCCGCATGTCCATGTATTTTTGTAAACAAAGTACAGTTTGAATTTATTGTCCTATCCAGATGAAATTTTGTACAAATCATTTGTTTGGTCCAAGAACGAACCCTATTGAAATTGGAGATAATCGGTCAAAATTTAGATATAGCTCCCATATATATCATCGTCCGATTTGCCTTTTATTGTGCACCAAACGTGTAATATCAGCCCGAATAGTGTGGAATTTTGGACATACAACCAAATTAAGCCTGCATGCCAAATTTGATGGAAATCGGTTCAGATATAGCTATAGCTCCCATATATATTGTTCATCCGATTTGTCATTTTTGTCCTACGCAGCCGTAATATGCACTCTCTAACAACAATATTTGAGGAAATATATCAAATGCAGCTCAGAAATACCTTTGCCAAATTTTATCGAGATCGGTTCGGATTTGGATATATCTCCCATATATAACTTCGTCCGATTTACCTTTTATTGTACACTAAACGTCTAATATGACATGATGTTTGGCACTTACGACCGAATTGAGTCTAGAAGCTAATATGTCAAATTTGGTGAAGATCGGTTCAGATATAGCTATAGCTTCCATATATATTGTTCATCCGATTTGTTGTATTTGTTACCCACAGCCGTAATATGCACTCCGTAACAACGATATTCAGGGAAATATATGAAATACAGCTCAGAAATATATTTGCCAAATTTTATCGAGATCAGTTCCGATTTGGATATAGCTCCCATAAATATCTTTATCCGATTTCAAATTAATTGTGCGAATCCGAAGTCCGAATTTAAAAGATACAAGTGCTTCGGCATATTTAGTCCTTTGAACCTTAAATTATAATTATAATCATAGCGTGTATGATTGAATTCTCCCATAAAAACTTTTAATTGTTATTCGGAGCTCTACTAAATTAGTTAAAATGGTGTAGGGTATCATAAAGTCGGCCCCGCCCGACTTTAAGACTTTCTTTACTGATTTTGTTAGGAAAATGTAAAAAAATATTAATTACGAAATATTAATTGATTACTTTTTTCCGATAAAAATTAATTGCATCTTAACAGGATATTTCTTAGCATTCCACTTCTAAAGAGAAAAGTCTCAAAATAAGTTATAATTCCTTCAACAATATCCACTTGTTGTTTCTTCTAACAAAATCGGGGAAAATTGGTTTAGATAAATTTCTTATTAATTGAATTTCATTTTTAATTATACAAGTCCTTACACAAAATTGTGTATATAATCTACAGATTCCCCGTGATTGTTTCCTCATCCAATTATCCTTTAATTATTTCCATTTAGTAAGACAAATTCCAACGAAATTGCAACTAAATCTATGAATTTATTTCTTTAAAATTCTCCTTCTTCTTTTTCTTCTTTCAAGGCTCTGCAATCAAATGCTTCGTCTGCGATTCGGAGGATAATCCAAGTTGTGCGGACTTAAAATCGAACAGCAGCATTGTGGCTGAGGTAAGTAATTGGGAGGAGATGATGTGAGTGTGTTTGGTTTGCGTGTGTGGGTGAATAATCTGCTTAGTGCTTGGATCTACGCACACGGTGACGGAGACATAATGTCTCGAGTCGTTGGCAATAAACATCCATTCATTCTCATGCGAGCTGCCAAAATAATCCCATTACGTTTTGAGGGAACACGTGGGTGCTGCTGAGCGATTTATGGCAACGAATTTTCTTCGTTCGAAAACAATAGATGAGGGAAAGAAGTCGAAATGGTTTTGATGTTACTGCTGGAGAATATTTGTTTTTTACTTTTAAATTGAAATAATGAGTTTGATTGGTGGAAAAAATGTCGAGGAAGCAACATATTCCGGAGAGATTATCTTTATTAAAAAAGTTAAAGAAATCTGGAAAATAAAGCTTTGCCATAATCAACTTTAGAAAATATTTTATGATTTGTTTGGTACTCTTAGTTATCAGGCCGAGTCCTTGATACCCTCCCCGTGTACGGGATGAAAAAAAAATTAAATGTATACCAATTCATCTATTCCGAATAAATACTGATTTAAGACAAAGAATTACTGAATATCCGCACCTAGAGACACCAGGAAGAGGGAACCGAATTGGTCCATTTTCTGAGAAAAAAATGTTTTTCTTATCTATCCTATGGCTGATCCAACTATACTGACTGCCTTAAGAATTCATCCATGGCCAAACGGAATGGCTGAAGCTAGAATCGTCAAATCTTGAGAGAGGGTCACTCTTGGTTCGAAGGGATCAGATAAGGCTGGGTCAAATAAAAGTACTAAATATGGTACCCTTTGTATTTGGGGAAGCAGTAGAGTTAGAACTTTTAAATATGGAAAGAGAGTCACTAATGGAATATGTGATGGATGTACCAAGGGTTTTTGGAAATTCACTCTTGGTCCGAAGGTGTCAGGTAAGGCGGATTTATTGGAAATTCATACTAGAACGGTGCGAAAAGTACTAAATATGGTACCCTTTCTATTTGAGGCAGCAGTAGAGCTAGAACTTATAAATTTGGAATGCGGTCACTATTTTAGGAATGAGGGTCACTGAGGGATGATGATGATAAGTGTACGAAAAGTACTAAAATGTACTACATTTGGGACCATTTAAATGTTAATGAAAGAGTAAGGTAATTAATTGTTTGATTTAAGGAGACGAAATGTCTGAAGCTAAAATGTTGAAATTTTTGGTGAGGATCACTTTTGGCCCAAATGGGTCAGATACGGCTGGGTTTTTGGAAATTCGTACTAGAACGATATGAAAAGTAATAAATATGGTAGCCTTTGTTTTTGAGAAAACAATAGAGCTAAAACTCTTAAATATGGATTGCGGGTCACTAGTGGAGTGTGTGATGTATGTATGTATCGAAGAGTTTCTGGAAATTCGCATAAGTGGTACGATAAGTATTAAAATTTGGTACCATTTCGTGTCGTGTAAACTGTTAGAACTAGAAACTTGAAATTAGGAATGGAAATCAATGTTGAGGAGTAAGGTCGATGTAAGAAGGTAGTTGTGGAAGTGTGTACCCATGAATACGGAAAGTATCGTGATATATGAAATTTACATTACTGACGGTATGTGGGATTGGGATGCGGAGGCAGTTTTCGAAGTTTGTACTTGTGTGCACGAAAAGTACTGAATGGTACTAAATTTGGTACAATTTCGATTTAGGTGAAGTGATAGAGCGAGAATTCGGAAATTTAGAATTGAGATTACTGTGTGAGTGCTATATTCGGTTATGCAGGAAGTTGTGGAAATTCGTACTTATGTGTACTATATGGTACTAAATTTGGTACAATTTGTATTTTGACGAACCGACAGGGATGGTATCCTATAATTTAGAATTGGGATTTCTGTGGGAGTGTAGGATTGTGTTATGTAGGAAGCTTTGGAAATTCGATTGAGCTGCAATTCTGAAATTCGGAATCAGAGTCACTGATGGATGGATAGATGCATCAAGGGGTTATTTGAAATTCGAACTTAAAACTAAAATGGCACCATTTGCTATTAAAGCTAAAAACTTGAAATATTGTATTGGGGTCCCTGTTTTGGTAATAGGTTCGTAATAAAAAGTTGGTATTACAAATGTGTACCGCAAGTGCACGAAAAGTACTAAATACTACTACACGATTGGAACAATTTGGCTTTGGGTGAACAGATAATGATTGAATTCCGAAATTTGGCATTAGGGCCGTTGTTTATGTGTAGCCTTGACATGTGGAAGTAATTGAGGAAATGTGTACTATAATAGTACGAAAAGTACTGAGTGGTACTATATTTGGTATTGGGTGAAGGGATAGAGAAAAAAATCAGAAATTTGATGTTTAGATTGCTGTTGGTATCTGCTTTTGAGATTCAGCGGTGGCTTGGAAATGCGTCCTATATTTGTATGAAAAGTACTAAATTGTCACTTTGTCTGTGATTAATAGAAAGAACTGGTTTTGATATATATGTACTATAATTATACGTAAAGTACTTAATGGTACTTAATTGGATGTTGTGTGGAGATATAGAGCTAGCATCCCGGAATTTGACAATAATGTCTGGAATTACATATGGAAGTGGTTTTGAAAATGTGTACTATAATTGTACGAAAAGTACTAAATCGTACTACATTTGGTACTGGATGAGGGAATACATCTGAAATCCTGAAACTCTGTCTGTAGTTAAGATATGGAGGTGGCCTTGAAAATGTGTACTAAATTGTTCGAAAAGTACTAAGTTGTACTAAATTAGTTATTGGGTGAAGGAATATAGCTAGAATCCCGAAATTTGATATAGTTGTCACTTTTGATGTATGTGGTCAAAATATGGAGGTGGTTTTGCAAACGTGTCCCATAATTGTGCGTACTGAACTGTACTAAATTTGGTGTTGGATGAAGGAATGGAGCTGAAATCCTGAAATAGAGCTGAAGTCCTGAAATGGTGTCTGTGGTTAAGATAAGGTGGTTTTGGAAATGCGTACTATAATTGTTCGAAAATTATTAAGTGATACTACATTGGATATTGGATGTAGGGATTTAACTGAAATAATGAAATATGGTGTAGATGTCACTGTTGATATCTGTGGTTAAGGTATGAAGGTTGTTTTTGAAACGCGTCCTATAATTGTACGAATCGTACTAAGAGGTGTTTGGTGAAGAAATAGAGTTGGAATCTTTAGATTTATCTGGGATTGATATATTGAGAAATTTGATATGGATGTCACTGTTGATGTCTGTGGTTAAGATATGGAGATAGTTTTGAATATGTGTGCTATAATTATACGAAAAGTACTAAATGGTATTAAATTTGGTATTGGGAATATAACTGAAATTTTGGTATGTCACTGTTGGTGTCTGTGGTTGAGAGGAGGAGTTGGTTTTGGATATGCGTGCTATAATTGTACCAAATGCTACTAAATTTAGTAATGAGGGAAATAACAAAGTTGAAATCCCGAATTCTGTTATTACGGTCACTCTGGGTATTTGAGGTTGAGATGTGGAGATTGTTTTGAAAATGTGTACTTTAGCTGTACGAAAGTAATTAAATGCTACTAAATTTGGTACTCGGTAAAGGGATAGAATTGAAATTTTTTACTGTGGGTGTCTATAGTTTAGGGAAGGAGGTGGTTTTCGAAATGTGTACCCTGAAAAGTACAAATTGATACAAAATGTGCCTTTGGGTGTAGAGGTGACGTAGGGTATAATCCTGCATTTTGGTCTCTTAAATAATAGACTTGTTTTAGACAATACAAATGCCATTTGGCCGAGGGTATAATAAATACTCCACCTTTGTTTTACTCATTATTTTCCTCATTGTCCAAGCAATTTGTTAGAACACAAAAATGAAATTAAGTTTTTTTTTTATTTTTTGTTGCTTAAAATCTTTGTTTGCAACCATAGCAAAGGTGTCATTAGATTGTGACAAAAATTCTAATGTCTTTTTGACCTGTTTTTGTACGTGACACGGTACACACAAACACACACAGTAGCAGAGAAGGAAGCCTTTTCATACAAATTTGCCTTTACATTTTTTATGAAGTGTAAACTGTCAATTTGAAATTGTTGCAAAAGTTTATAGTTCTAGTTTGTAGTTTTGAATTATATAAGGAATACAATATTACTTAGGATGCCAAGGCATTTGAATAGTGTAAGACTTCTCGACCCCACACAAATTTGGACAGTTTGTAACAACTAGTTTTTTGTGAGGTTTCTTTGAAATAATAAAACAAGGCAAATTAATTAGAAGATGTGCTCATTGTGTGGAATAATATAGAACTAAATGTGTTGTAGGATAAAATGACGAAAATAACTTAAATCAAGAGATACCTTCCTACATATGGACAATTTCTTACAAATTCGTAAAAAATGCTAAATTTTTCGAAAAAAAAGAAATTAAGATGCCAGAATTGATGTCATTTTCTGTGATACATTAAGAATACAATTTTTTTTTGTTCGGGGATTCTCAATGAAATTCGATCTAAAATATTGTTTCATTGTACATGCAATACTGCAATGCAATAGTGTATATATTCGAAGCGTATTAAATTAACAGTCGGTAAACATATAATTTCCAATGTTAATATATAAAATACGAATATAATTTTCCGTTGTGCCCCCTACTTCGTCGGTGAAAATTTCACCTTTTAAATTTAAGAATCGTTGCAACAGTTCGTGTTAGTATTTAAAACTTCATAATTCGTACGAAATGTTAAGACTTTCAAGGTTTTGTAGATTATTCAGGTTTTTTCCTTTTTTGGAAAGAGTAATACGAATATGTTTACATTTTACCTTTTTACATCCGTCTGTCCATCTGTGGAAATATCTCTAGTTTCCGAACGAAGTAATGTAGGTTGATATAACTTTACTCAAATTTGTGTTTGGTCTGCAGGAATTTTGGGATTGAAAATGGCCTATATATGTATGGGCCTTTGTTTCAATTTTCGTACCTGCACTTCGTAATGGGTACTACAGCCTGTGACATAAAATTGTATATGCAGGTCC